GTCGCTGCGAATATACTCCACATCAACACACAGTGTGTTCGCACAAGTGATTATCTGAATCATTCAGCGTAACAGGCACACGCATTCGTAAATTTCATAAAGAAAATGTTTTGCGTGTGCAATAAAACGGTGCGTTCTAGAATTTCACGGTCATAGGTGACCGGAAGCCCGGGCTCCCCGACACGACATGTGTGCAGTGTGTGCAGTGGAGTATCCGCCCGACGCCATTACGCGCATTGCACGCTGCACGTCTCGCTGTGTCTCCTCACCCCCAATGGTTGTGCGTGTGCTGACGTCACATTTCCGCCCTCTGTCAATGTCATTACATTCTCTCTCGCCGGGTTTAAGATTTAATACATTTTTGACCTATCGGCGCCTTCTTCACCTGGCTGAATGGTCGCGTGCCGGTCGCGGGGGTGGAGGTGCAACCGCACACACACTCGGAGAATTAGGGTAGGTCTCGATTGAATGCGAATGCCGAAAGACGCGCGCGAGCTCAGGTGCCCCCCTTTGCGTATACTCGTAGATCCCCTTTTTCGAGGCGGTGTATTCAACCTCAACATGTATCGGATTTGCGTTTGCGTTGTTCTTCTGTTTTGATTGCGGTTGTGGGACCCCTTTTTTATTGAAATTCAATGGAAATATTGACGCGTTATGATAGGGGGAGAGCCAAGTGCACAGCGGGGGGTTGCAGGTCTTTTTGCAAATCGGATTTGTTACGGAATTTGGGTTAGAGTTGAGTTTTGGGTGAGGAAAATTGACGATTACGTCAAAACGGAAGGAGATAGACATAAAATTTTATCAGGGATTTGTTGAGGGATTAATTTTACATCATATTTTGGTAAAATATTTGAGATTGAGCTTTTATATACAGAGTAATCAAGAAAAATGTAAAAAATGACATTTTTGCATTAAAAACGAGTTTTTAGCAATAAATAATTATTTGCTTAAAATCATTGATAAAGTAGATGCAGAATTTAATCCTGGATATATTAGTGAAAGAATTATCCTTGTATCTCTTATAGTTTTTGAATTATTCATAATAATTTGTTTAAAAACATGAAGTGGTTGGTTTGCATACGGAAATTAATCACAATCAAAATATTTTAAAGAAAATTTGCAATTACAGCTAAACGGAAAGAGGTAGAACAATAATTTAAACGATAATCTATCAAGAGACTAATTTTACATCATATTTTGGTAAAATATTAGGGATTGAGCTTTTATATACAGAGTAATCAAGAAAAATGTAGAAACTTCAATTTTTGCACTAAAAACGCGTTTTAAGCAATAAATAATTATTTTTTTTTAAATAATTTTGATAGAGTTCATGCATAATTTAATTCTGGAGCTATTAGTGAAAGAATTATTCTTCTATCTCTTGTAGTTTTTGAATTATTCATAATAATTTGTTTAAAAACGTGAAGTATTTGGTTTGCACACGGAAATTAATCAAAATCAAAATATTTTAAAGAAAATTTACAATTACAGCTAAACGAAAAGAGGTAGAGCTATAATTTAAACGACAATCTATCAATAGATTAATTCCACATCATATTATGTCAAAATATCAGAGATAAAACTTTTAACTCAGTATATAGTAAACAAGAAAAACATGAAAAAATACAATTTTTTCACTAAAAACAAAATTTAAACAATAAATAACTATTTATTCTTATCAAATTTTCCAAAATAGATGCAAAATTTAATTCTTCATCGATTAGTAAAAGAATCACCCTTCTATCTCTTATACTTTTCGAGTTATTCACAAAACATTTTTCTAAACCCAAGTGAAAGTAAAAGCGTGACACGTGGGCTGTGGTCGTGGGTGTGCACGTATAAACAACTTACGCTAGACGCGTCGTAGCCGTACGCGGCGTGTTATCCGAGGTAAGGGTGTCGAAAAGAAGGAAAGGACGACGGCCGGGGTCGGGGTCGCCGGTTTTGGGTATAGAGTCATACATAGCGCACGATAGCCACCGGCGGTGTGGGCCTCTCTCGGTCGGTCAGCCGGCCCGACCACTCTCCGGTCGTTAGGATGACTAGACGCTCCGCCAGACGTTGTGCGCTTTTCACGGCCAAGCCAGACCCTTGCTTCCTTCCGGGAGCGGCGTGTTGGGATTTCGGGTGCCGCCTGCGAAGCGCAAAGGATAAAGCGGACGACGAAGTTTTCGAGCGGCGGCGGCGTGTGGATATTTGGGTTGCGTGAAGGCGAACAAACGAGGAAAATCCCTCAACTGGGGATGGGCGTATGGGGGATTCCTATCGTCGCCCGTCCGATGCTTTTCAATGCCAAGGCCCACGCACAACCTACATTTCCACTCGAAAAACGTGCTAGTAAATCATAACACGCGAGTGATGATACTAGATAACGCGCGGTGTTTTTTTTTTGTGTGTAATATGAGGGAAAAAAGAAAGAAAGATTTAAATAACGAACGTGCGCATAATACCGTTGCCTGATTAATTACAGCCGTCACTGAGTAGTTTTTACCACATATGGAAAGGAACTGTTTTTTGCTTCTTTTCCTCAACATTTGTTGGGTGCACTTTTTTGCTTCAGTTTTTTATTGGAGCTAAATATAGACGTTTTTTTTATTTTTACCAAGTTTTTATGTTTTTATTTTTGTTTTTTGATGATTACTCGAAAACTAATAATGATATTTTAAAAATTCTTTCACTAGTCTTTTTAGTATTAAATTGTGGATGTATCTGTGAAGAAATTTTAGTGATAACATATTTTTATCAAAAGTTACAAGACATTTTATAAAAATTTTATAATTTTTTAAGAAACAAACTTTAATTGTTAATAACTTTTTAATTAATAATCATATCATCCCCATTTTTTCTCTAAATTACGTAGAAAATAATTCTTAATCAACTACTGAAAGAATCACAACTCTAACTTTAATAACTTTTAAGTAATTAATCAAAAACTAATTATTTTCATGATAAAATTTGAATAGCTTTGGAATAAGTGTCAAATTTCAGGATATTCAAAGCTATTTAATACGGCCACTTGAGATTTGATGCATTGTGAATATTTTAATAGAAGATACGTGAGAGTTGCGCGCAATAACGGTATGACACGCCGGAAAGAAGAGCAATAAGAGCGATTGAAGAGTGCGAAGTAGGAGGAGGATCACCGGGTTCTCCAAACGGCTCAGCCGTAAACCCACGTGTAAATACCGAATGCCGGCGTGGAGGCAGGCAGCTCTTCGTGCAGCTGTCAGCAGGATATACGCACCACGTGTGCATTACGGCGCTGTTTTCAATCGAGAAATCTGGAGCAGTTTAAATTAAAAACAATTTTTTTCAATAGAGAATGTTTTAACACGTGATAAGTTGATTGGTAATGATAGTAAGGTATTGATAAGGGTAAAATATTAAAGGGTAGTTATTAGGGAATAAAAATACGGAATTTTAAGTTTATGGATGGTATAGTTTTGTGGTGGGGGTAAAAAGAGTAAAATTTTGTCATTTTGTGAAAAGAGAAATAAAAATCGTGATAACTCGGAAAGTATAAGTGATAAAGGGATGACTTTTTTTTGTAGAGGGTAGATAATCCTAAGGAGTATATGGTGGAATTAAAAAAATATGGTAAAAATATTATAATTAATGCAAATTTCAAGAAAATGCAAAAAGTGCAATTAAAAACTTAATTTTTTTAATAACGCAAGTTTGAGAGATGATAACTCAATTATTTCTTATCGCAAAATATTGATAAAAATAAAATATGAAAGATAATATATTAGAGAACCAATATGCGTAATTTGAAAAATTTAGTGATGATAGTTTTTTAGTTATAACAAAAAGACTAAAATTATGCGTTTTTCTTCATTAATAAATAGAAATCGTGATAATTTGAAAACTATAAGTGATAACGAGATGATTTTGTTGTAAAAGGGTAGATAATAATATAGACTATAAAACGCACTTAAAAGAAATGGTCAAAATATTAAAAAGACCGCAAAATTTAAAGAAAACATAAAATAATTGCCATTAAACTAGTGTTATGCATCCATACAAATATCAAACACTAAGTTTAATCAAAAAACTATTTATAAACCGTTTTAGTTTTTAATGTCCCAATGCCGATTTTAATGCATCTACAACTCGAGAGAGAATAAAAACCGTAAAACAAGCGGAATTAAAATAAAACTTCCACCGAACAAAATCTTGTTCTCGAAGAGCAAAATAAAAACGATCGTTAAACCATTCTAAAAAACACACTCACACATCGTCTAAATTCACATACACAAAAAAAAAACATAAAAACTTTTTAGAAAAAAAATTTACGCGCTTAAATAAAAAGAAAAAACTTTCATCTCAAATTCCATTTCATACCAATAAAAATTTCTACTGAATACGTGGAATTCATACTCATACTCGTACATCATATCGATAACACCCCGATACAAGTAAACTTTTATGATTTGTTAGGGATCTGCAAGTCGTCTGAATGAACAAAGGAAATTAATTGCGAGTGATAAATCGTCGTCGATTTATCTGCCTCTGCCGTAGAATAAAAACCTCACAACGCAGCACACACGTTACAACCGTGAACTCTCCGCTCGCATGGCTTTCGATTCCGTAGCGAAATAAAATATAAATCAACCCTCCCTTTTTATGCCACTGCCATGTTGTGTGCGTGTATGTACCGTACCGATTCCAAAATGGCGGCGCACACGGCTGCGAATAATTGACGCGCGAGAGATGCGAGCGAGGCGAGATTTTAAATTTAAACGCCGCATTTTTTGAGTTTATGAGTTTGTCGCTTTGAGAATGTGTGCGCCGGGGTGAAGAGCGGCGTGGAAAGGGCCCGCAGGGTGCACACCTGGCCTCGTGCTACCGGATATGTGACGCCGCGACGGTTTCTTGCACCCGAAACGCACCCAGAGCTCTGAAACACACAAAAACATTACTTAAATAATATTATATTACATTTTACTATAAATTTCGACTAAAAATGCATAAAATTAATAAAAATTTATTTTTTTTAGAATTTATATGGAGATCCAGCGATGATGCGTGGTGAAGGTCGACGCGGACGTGGAAAGGGTCGAGGTGGCGGGGTGAGTATTATCAAAATAATCTCGTATTTGCGAAATATTCGCATCAATCAGCATGGAATTGCGAGTTTTGTCGCTGAGTGTAAACACGACGCACACACGTGCGACGTTAAAAAGCGCACGTCTGGATCTCCGGCGAGAGAGTGAGAGCTGCCGACAGCCCTACGCCACTATTGTCGTCCTTTATCGCGTCGCGGCGAAACGGAACAAAACGCATCGGTGGTGCGTTTCGCTTTCCCTTCACAATATTGATTTATTTTCGAGCGCATGCGGCGTTACGCTCGTCGCCTGGCACGCACGCCGAATGGAACGAAATTTGCAATTATCCGACCGGCGAAAGTACAGCGCGTGCCAAAATTATACGAGTTGATCAAATTTTTATCACCGCGGCGATGAATTTGCATTTTATACCTCACAAAGCACTAAAACCTTCACTCTACATATATTCTAACCTCTAAAACTTTAAATTAAAGTTTTTATAACTTAAAAACACATTTTTTTGCGTTTGTGTTGAGTCATTGAGTGTTTGGTGTATGTTGGGTTGCCTATAGTGAATCATCATTCACGGTGATTTGAACGCGTCACTCAGAACGCGAAACAAAAATAAAAATATGTAATAAAAAGGTTTCGCAGGTAAACGTGAACGTGAAACATGACGCTGGAGTATTATCGACATTGCTTCCGCTTCCGTTGGTGCTGTGCCGGGCCGTGACAAGGGTGGATCGATATCGCTTCACAGAGCAATCAAATTTTCTTTACATTTGCATTTTTATGGCAAACAATATCAGCGCACAATTTCAAATCGCCGGCTCGGTTGAGGTCGGGTGAATCCGCGCGAACTTTCGGTTCGCTGACACGCCGGCAGCGCATCCACGACGTACGTCGCGCGGATATAACCAGCGGGCGCGGATGCGTGGGAGTGACGGCGGCGTAGCGCTGCGCGCTTTTTCTCGACGACCGCGCCGCGGCGGCCGCGACCCTCTGGTGGGGCACGCCGCGATCCTCGCTTTCGTTAGTGTTTTTTCCAGATAAGCCCCCCGCACGTTCGATAACGCATTCAGCGTGGCGACGCGCGCGAGTTTTGCATTTGCACTGCCACACCACACAAGTAGTAATTAATTTTTCAACTCGCATTCGCTTGTCAATTAAATCATCTCCGCACGAGCGCGCCCGTAATATAGACGTGAATAATACGTGACGTAATATCGTCAATTTAAGTACAAATCTCTTAAAGACAATGTTTTCTCTGCCATTCGTCACTCAGGTATTGAATTTAGTTATGTGCATGATTTTTACCGTTTTTTAGACAACCCAACATACACGGGGATTGTTTTTTACTGAAATTCGATACTTGGACTGCTTTTTTTTTAAACTGCATTCAATTGATGTGAATTGTTGAGTCTAGCCGGTTTCACAAGTCTACCTGGTAGAAACCTGCATTCATCTGGGGTTTATGACCTTTTTCATATGCGTTGAAACGCGCGTTTGAATAAAAATATAATTATTCAATTGTTTGAAGCGGTTTTCTGCATATCTGTGTCACGCAATGCGTTTTATCACTGCATATACTATATAAATATAAGTTTTACGTTGATAACAATATGATAAACAACATAACGCATAAAAAAACTTAAAAATAATATTTTTTGAGTTCAGAAATATTATTTTCTTACCTGCTTTATGTTTTCAATAAAAATCTATTTCCTTTAGGCCTCCGAATATTTTTTTAAACAGTTTACACAATCTGCTTCCACTATGCGCACGTCAGAACGCTTCATTAAACAAAGTTTGATGAGAAGCAGCTTGCGGTAGAAGAAAGAAACAAACAAATATTCGAATTCGAAGGATTTGTTAATAGAAACGCAACCGTTTGGGTTGTGTTCGGTTTTTTTGAGGAAAAAATAATTTTAGTTGTTCGCGTGCGTGCGTAGAGCGAAGATGTTTCATTTTGCGGATGCGTTTTTGCAGAGTTATCGCGGCCGGAAGGCGGCTGCCGCTGCAGCGGCCATTTCGAATCAACCCGGCGGTGATCAAGCGCCGCCCGCGCCTGTTTCGCGACCCAGTCCGCAACCCGCCGTGCACATGATCAAGCAGGAGCCGGTGCACATGATTAAACAGGAGCCTGTACACATGATTAAGCAGGAACCCGTCCAACAACAACAACAACAACAAACAATGGTAAGTAAATTATAAAAAAATTAAGTTTTTTAATGTTTTTATGAATTTTTATGAAAAAAATATTTTTTTTGGGGTGTGAATGACATGTTAAACCGCCCACGTGTTGAATCCGATTGTATCCTGCAGTGTGTCGATTGTCCTTGTAGGTTTTGTGTGCGTGATCGTGAGGCGCAAGGTTAATGCGATTCGAGACGAGGGATTTTACCCTTCTTGATATATATAGATATCTATGTGGGAAAGAAACTGACCTTTCTCAGCTTGGGGACGTTTTTCCCCAAATCTCTCCCCTTGAACATAATTCCGCTGCATTTGCACGCATTTTATGAATATTTCTCTGTTTCAGACCCCGGTGCCCTTCTATACCGACCCCAACAGGTTCAGCACGCCTGTATGGCAAACAGACCCAACTCTAGCACCTCAAGGTAATTTTAAAGATGAAAATTTTACATTTCACTCATCAGTGCTTATAAATCGAATCAAATTCTAATCTATTTTTTTTAAAACGTGCAGAAGTCGTCCCCAACTGGCCGCAGGGTCAATTCATTCAGCAAATTGCACCCGCTCAACCGCAAACCACCCTCGACGCCTACCCACCGCAACAGTATCCCAACGGTTTATATCAGGCGACTTATCAGCAGCCGACATTTGAGTCGAATACATTCTACACTGGCGCCGTGCAGGTTTTAAGCACAAGACCGCCGAGTGTTCCCAGCACACAGTTGACACCACGTACGAATGGCAGCTACACGCCGAGTCCTAGTCCTGTCACTCAGAATCAGCAACCACAAGCGCAGCAAGCACAACAACCTCAGGCAGCTCAGCAACCCACAACACAGAATAATGGCCAACGGACTAATATGACTTATGAATACATGCAGAATTACGCACCGCCTGCAACGCCACCTGTTGACAATCAACAACAACAACAGATATCCAGACCCAGTTCGGTTAATGGTAATAATAATGCCCCAACGCCAAATCAAACTTATCAAACGGGTAACACTTTCACATCCGTTTCGAGTACTAGTTTCTCACCCAGTTCGAATACTGCTCCGCATTATGTCAACGCGAATTCGGGAAACGAGCAACCTGGTTATCCGCAAGTGAACAGCAACCCGCCGCTAATTTCACACAACTCTAGTGGGTATCCAGGTCAATTCGGCGGTAGCAACAATCAAACCACCTCCGACCATCAGCAGGTCCAGTGGGTGAATAATGACAATGCGCACATGATGTGGCAGCAATCCCCCGCTCAACCAGCGCATGCTGTGAATCAGCAACAGGCGCAGCAGGACCAAATGAACGAAAGTGCCAAACAATCCGATAATAACACGCCCAATCAGTATGAGAACGAGAACAATCATCACGATCCCGGCGATCAGTTCAATCAAGCGCACCGGGTGAATTTAAACTCGCGTATCAAGACGATGATCTTGAATAAACAGGCGGATAACAATAAGAAGATGGAGGATGTGCAGAAGGACGAGCACAGCAAGCAGACCGGTCATTTTTTATGGTATAGCCACCATCGTCGCTCAGATGATATAGAAAGCGACGGTGGTGGCTTTCCGTCGATTATTCGACAACTCAATCATGACAAATTTTATAACTACAATCCGAATCATTTTAATTACTTTCCATCGATAATGCCGGCTCAGAATGAAACAGCGACAAGTGAAGCGGTGTTGGACGTGGCGAAAACTGAAACTGAAGCGGAACAGAGTTCGGTGGGTTGCCTACCTGAAGAGAATAAGGTTAAAACTGCGCTTGGTAATGAAATCCCACAATGCAATTGTTTCCCAACTGGTAATCAACCGCCGGAGCCAGGGACGTATTATACTCATCTAGGGTGTTCGAGTAATTTGGTTAATCTGCGGAAGGATTTAGAGACGCGCACGGGTGTTACCGGTAAAGCTATCCGCATTGAAAAGATTAAATACACTGGGAAGGAAGGAAAGTCTGCGCAGGGATGTCCTATCGCCAAATGGGTAAGTTTTTATTTAAAATTCTATCTTTTTATTGGTTTTTAATCATTTTTTTGTTTTAAATAGATTATTCGACGTTCTGATTATCAAGAAAAGTATCTTATCATTGTGAAACACCGTCAAGGTCACTTTTGCTTCTCTGCATTCATTGTCGTTTGCATTGTGGCTTGGGAAGGCATCCGACAGAAGCAAGCCGATGATTTATACTCGCTCCTCACCGAAAAGCTCAATAAATTCGGTATTCCGACCACGCGCCGATGCGGGACGAATGAACAGAGGAACTGCGCATGTCAGGGACTGCATCCGGAGACGAGTGGCGCAAGTTACTCGTTCGGATGCTCGTGGAGCATGTATTACAATGGATGTAAATTCGCCCGTTCGAAATGCGTGAGGAAGTTTCGGCTATCCTCGCAGAATGAAGAGAAATGCATGGAGGAGAAACTGCAGGCGATGGCGACGTGTCTGGTTCCGCTGTATAAAAGTCTCGCGCCGATCGCGTATAAGAACCAATGCGAGAACGAAATGAGTGACATGGAATGTCGGCTGGGTGATAAGTCAATTGGGCGGCCATTTTCCGGCGTCACTGCATGCCTGGACTTTTGTTCGCATTCGCACAAGGATACTCACAATATGAACGATGGTTGTACGGTGGTTGTTTCTCTTATGAAGGAGAGAGTGCTGGGGAAACCGAAACATGATGAGCAATTGCATGTTTTACCGTTGTATACGGTGGATACGACTGATGAGTTTGGCGCTAGTCAAAAGCACAATAGGAGTATTGAAGTTCTTAAAAGGTACGTTTTATAGTACATTATTTTGTCACCAGGTGGCGCTAGTAGTACCATTTTAATATTTATTCCGTGAAACACGTGTGTTTAGCTTTGGTTTTACATTGTTGTGAGGATAAATAGTTAATTATTTTATCGTAAGATGGCGCTGCGAGTGCAATTTCAACGTTTAATACCTAAATATTTGTATTTATTGTTGTTTTCAGTTATAAATGTGAGGTGCGTGTGCGCACAGTACCATTACAATCCTGCCGCCGCAGTAAAAAGAAAAAGAGTGCCGCCGCAGAGTCTTCTGAGTCGTCCGAGACGATTTCCTCCTCCCCCAAGAAACGATCTTCCAGCAAAGAAGCAGGTGGTAGCAGTAAGCCAAGCTCAACCAACGTCGAGCTGCAAAATAATCAAATCACCAGCACCGTCAACAATAACAAACAATCGCATGCGGCTCTCGACCGATATCATCACCGACACGAACCGCCAGTATTAGACAATTGGAGCAATCCGCGCACTGCCTTTAACGTAACATATCCGGTCATGACGCCGTACTCGTACACACCAACGCAGTATAATCTACCCGCAGCAAGCATGCCGTATCACCACTACGCCGTTAATCAGAAAGTACAAGATAGCAACTCAGGTTCAACAACTAGCACAAGTAATCATCAACTCGTTATCGATTATGATCAACATCGTATGCCTATGCAACCCTTCCGCACGCCATATTATCATGCGCCGCCACGGCACCATCTCAATGATTACAATTGTAGTTACCCCGTCGGTTTTAATCCGCCGAGTCCGTATGATTATCAGCGGACGGTTTTGCCCCCCTTGCCTAGTTTGAATTGGAGTCATCATGCGCATACGCCATCTTTCTCGGGTGTCAATCATCATCATACGCATGCGCATCACGGCATGTTGTCATCGTTGTCGCCTTTTCAAATGCATTCGCCTAGTCTGCCGGGTTTGGGTTTACCACCGGCAATTATGCCACCACAAGCGCCATCTGCAGAAATTGTAGATGTAAAAATACCCAAACCCGCAATCGGTACGGTGAAAGAAACAACGGAAAATTTAGAAGCGTTTAAAGATTCCACCATTGGTGGCTTGGCGATAGCGTTGAGTCATGGCAGCGTGCTGTTCGAATGTGCCAAATACGAGTTTCACGCAACGACAGCCCTCAAATGTCCCAATCGCTTGAGCCCGACGCGAATTAGTCTCGTTTTCTATCAGCATCGTAACCTAAACAAACCCAAACACGGTTGGGATGCGTATGAGGAGAAGATGCGCCTGCGCAAGATGGGCGTCAGCGTGAGTCCGGTTGTCGTGAGCAATTCGGTGGATGTGTCGACGTCGTTGGACGCGCCATCGACGGAATCACTCCTGCATCCGCTCTCGACGATGACGTCGTTCCACACCTACGTCCCCATGCAGATGCAAATGCCGAATTTGTATCAGAGTACATTCGGGATTTAAGTGTATTTAAGCTCAACCCCACCGAAAACAAAACATACCACAGTGAAATGAAAACAATTGCCATTTTATAAACGAGAAGAGAGAAATATTGATAAAACTAATGTAATTCATATGTTAATTAGACGATTAGAGGTATTAATAATATGATTGTGAACGTGAATTATGCAAGCGGTACACGAGTGGACAAAAATATTATGATAATTATAAAGATTAAGAAAAGCAAATTGGAGTAAACCGAAAACAAAGATGAAAAGAATATTTATGTAACTTTAACAATAGTGCCTGTATGATGTGTATGGATCTCAATGGTATTTTATTATATAAACAAAGTCAAAACGACAAAAGAGAAAAAAATGATAAACATGATAATATATTAAAGAAGAAGAAGATGAAAAGATGAAAAAAACACAGTAAATTTATTTAATGAAGATATAAAAATGAATAATAACGTATTATAAAGAAATGAAACAAGCAAAGACAGTACAAAGTTAGAATTATTCCACTAATCAGTTATACAACAATTTTTCTTAATCTTTAAACAAAAAAAAACAAAAATTACACCTTAACATAAGTAGCCAGTTATCATATTAGAGATGAGACAGTAATTTTTATACGACATTGAATGTGGGTGTTGCGTTGGGGAGGTTCTCTGGCAGCTTTTCTTTTCTTTCTTTTTTTGTGGGCCACAGTCATTTATTTATCCATCGGCCCAACGTTTGTACTTTAAAAATGGTACCAGTGTGTCATAATGTCTTCGAAACGCCGCCATTGCCATACTTTATACACAATCAACTGTTGTTTGTTATTTAATTTAATTCATTTATTTAAACGAATGTCATGTTTATGATTTGTACAAGTAGTTAACTTATGATTTTATCATATTTACCAATATTTATAGTTAATTAATTGCATGCAACGTTCTCAAAGAAGATCGGCGCATGCGCGTCGATTGTAAATTAATTTATTCGTATTCTTACTTTTTGGGTGTATGTACATTGTTTATATCACGATTATTTTAGGTTAATAAGCCGAAATTCGACTTGAAATCTCATTAGCGGTATCATTTTATAGGTTAGACATCGATTTTTAGCGATGATTCTTTTCGGGCGTTGAGAAAAGCAACCAAACCAAACAATATAGACGTCTAACAAGATCATATATTATGATGATATTTATTACCATATTTTATTTCTAATTTATTCGACTTTTAGTGTAGTATTATGAGATAATTTTATTCTAAGCGATAAGTAACGTAGTTGTGAGGAACCAAAACGAAACCAAAAAGAAAACAAGCAAAACAAAACAAAACAAACAAACTCTTTTTATACAAATACGCAAGATTTGTTTTCTTTGTAGAAAAAGAAAAGAAAACAATACACAATAAGAAGATGACATTTTAAAAGCAATCAATCGTATCAATAAAACTAATAATATTTGTATAAAAGTATTTAATATAAAGAAGAGAAGGGAAAAACAAATATAAATGATAAGAACATCAAATTGTTACCATTTGAATATGTTCCAATTTCGTGCGTACAACATTTCAATCACAGGGTTCTTTTCATGACAAAGAAACTGAACATTTTAAGCATTCCAACACTCTCTCATTAAACATAACCAAAAAAACAAAAAGCGTTAATAAAATTCAAGGAGGAATCACTTATGCCTTTAACAAATAAGTTTGCCTTCTGTGTTTCTGCATTGAGAAAATTATAAAATGAAAAAGAAGATGAGAAACAAAACGAAGACGTGAATATCTGTTGAACTATTTGATGAATTCTATTTTTAATTATCGAATTGTATTCATGCGTAATTATCATAATATTCCAAGATTGCAGCATACCAATTGTTAATCATTCCGTATGCGTATAAAGTAATATATTTTCAAAATATTTGTGTGAATATGTTTGAAAACAGTTGCAGACATCCGGATCAAAATTCTGTATAAAATTCGATCACCGACTTGCATTTTACTGTAGTCGTTTAGTCTGTAGTAGTTTCATGATGAACGATGCGTTTGATTGTTTTATTTTGATGGATGAGATTGCGATTTGTAGCGCTTGACGTGAATGCGGTGTGTGAATGGGAGACATTTCGATTTTGCGTGCGATTTTGTGAAGATAATTACAGTAGTAGCGAGTTTCGTACGATAACGATACGTACTTATCATACAACATTGTATAAATACCTATATTTATGAATAATAATTAATCAGTGTATTTGAGGATGAGCGAAATAAAAGCATTGAATACACCGATTTGCAAAGTGTTGAACTTTTGAATGTTTTGTGGTTTGAAACTTGGATTACATTTGACAGCACTGCTGGCAGCAAACTGTCAATAATTCAGTTTCTGTCATTTTTTGCGCAAGCTTTCATAAACGTGCGTCAAAACCGCAAAAATGACAAAAAAGAAGTTATTAAGAGTTAATCTTAAGTGTTTTTCTATTTCTAATTCGATATTTTATCATAAAAACACTTGGTGAGTTCAGTTAGTGTTATAAAATCACTTTTATATTTAAAAATTATGCAGTTGATAAAAGTTGACAGTTGAACAATCATTTTTAGGTTACAGTTGGCAACACTGCTCAGCCCTGTCAACTAACTTATTTTCGACAACGCCGACACCATTATATCAGCAAGTTTTCACGCCTGTGCATCAAAAATTACAAAAAGAACAAAAATGAAGTTATTACAAGATCAACTTAAGTGTCCTTCAACCAGCATTCGATCTTTTATCATAAAAACACTAGGTGAGTACAGTTATAGCTATAACACAACTTTTAATTTCAAAAATCCAAATTTCAAATCGACCGTTGTAAGATTCATCAGTTTCATCATTTACGATTCCACGTTTTTAAACCAAACCGGTTTGTGTTCGGCTAATTTTATCTCTTCCTGCTGAATGCGTCTCTCCTACAAACACATCTGCCCAATTTTACCTGCGTTTATATTTAATGCATTAATGAAAATCAATACAATTTCAACAAAACACATAAATGCATAGATCAATGGCGGCCATTTTAATTCAACCGTAAAATTTCGCCTGTTTCGGTCGAAATCTAAGGTATTATACGTGAGAGCGCGCAGCAAAGACGTGCAAAACTCGCACATTGCTCTGTTTGCAGAGTTTGGTCGGGTTTCGTGCGGTAGAGTTTGGTGAGGTAGAGGAGGCGTGAGGCGAGTTTGGGAAAAGCAGACTCGTTTGCCGTTCGCGTAGTGAGTACAAGGTTCGCGCTGGAACCGGCTGCAGTGCTGCACAAGCGCGTCTCGTGTCTGCACTCTCTGCACTCGCAGTCAGTTGAGTTGCCGACTTTCGAAGAGTCGGTGCGGTGCGCGTTTCGGCTGCTATCTTATCTTAAAAATTTACACAAACAAACAAAAAACAATACAAAACACGCGTTTGTGAGGATTTATTTTCAACATAGACAATTTATTTGATTTAAATGTGAATTTGTGGCAGTGAAAATAATTCTTTTACACGAAGGAAATAATCTCCACGGCTTAAATCACAAAGGGTAAGTGTATTAAGTAATATTCTTTGATTTAATTGTGTATTATTTAATTTTTTAAGAGATTACATAACAGATTTCACTTTATGTGAGTCTCTGGTCTTCAAAAAAGACATGAAATATAAAATAATAAAATAATTGTAGTCACATACTCGTACTCGTAACATTGACGCACAAAAAACAACAGAAAAAATTAAGCAACATTGAGTTAAGTCTAGTTGTGGGACAATGCACTCGCTCGCTCGCTCGCTTTTGTTTCTATCCGGTCTAGGTTTTGTTCTTGTTACATTCTACCATTATACAAAACGGCGTGGCCGGTTGTAAGTGGTAGTTGCATGGTAGGCTGGATCTGGCTGGTCAGTGCCAGTGGTATCACAGTGGCCCCCAAGCCGAAGATTCTTCCTTTGCGTGCGGTGTGCGTGGTGTGTGTGTCGCGGTGGTCACTCAGCCAGGGCAAGGTCGTCCGGATGAGGAATTATTATGCAAATCATAAACAGCTATACAACAAAAATTTACTCAAGATGAGTAATTTTACAGGTACACACATGAAAAAAAGTTGTACAACTGCGTCAAAACATCATTTTTGCTCAGCAATTAAATTAAATTGTAACTATTACGAAACTGTTAATTGGAACGTGTGCGACTACTTAACGAGCATAGTACGTGTTTTTTCTTGTGTTTTAAGAGAAAAAAACACAAAACAACGAAATTACTTTATAATGTAACTTGCATAATTGGTTGCATACGTGCTTTTTTGCTACTAACCTCAAAATTTTGTGTCATTTAGATACATATCTAGAAAAAATAGAATAATCGCGTTTTGTGAGATAACAAAGCAAAACAAAACGAAAAAAAGTAGTCTATGTTATTTTCTTAGGTCTAAACTAACTCTATACAAAATTTTGTTAAATTATTTTGAGTGGTTTTTGCGTAGATGCGACACAAACAAACATCCAAACAAATTTTCTTAATTTTTCTTATTGTTTTCAATATATTTCAAGTTCATAACTAAAATTTCTTTTAAAAAACAACGAAAATTTTTGTTTTTCTGTGAATAAAACACAGTATTCTATTTTATTTCATTTTCTGACGTTATAAATATACATCTATCAATATTCCGCTGATGATATAGCTTCTAATACGCTAAACGCATGCGAGCGGATCATAAATAAATTTCCATGCAGACGATAAAAGTCAAAGTCTGGTCGAACGCGAGATGCATTACCAAACGTGCGTTTGCCTACGTGCGTTTGCCCATCAACTAATTATCCATGCGCGGCGCGTACGCGCTTGCCCATTCCATCATGCAATTCCAATTATCTATCACTTATTGCCCATCACACACGCGCAGCATTAACGATCAAGCGCAAAACAAAAACCTCTTTGATCCTATACTCATAAATGAGACATTTCGCCAAACGGAGGTGAGACGCGTAAATTTATTTTAATCAGCCGCCACTATAACTTCATAATTATTCCACGACCGTAATATTCGCGGAAAATTGGCGCTAACAGGATGCAATAACAGAGCAGCACGAGCAGACGATTGCGTAATTAAATTATATCAAGATGTGTGCGTTGAAATTTAATTTATTCCGTAATGATTCCAATTTTGTTTCGTTAATGATCCTCATTAGTCTTGAAACAGTTAAGATTTATCTGCCACTTGAACGTCTTTGTTCTAGTATGTGAAATAAAAAAATAAAAATAACCGGTATTTTATTTTATTTCGAATAACCGGTTTTATTTATTTATTTATTTTCATCGCGTTCTTAATCTCGCGCACTTGAGTTATTCTTCTGCTCCGATGTGTGTCACACATTTCAATGCTTTAATGTTTAATGCATTATTAGCTTCAGCTTGAACATTTGTGTTCGCGGATGTCCGATAAATACCGTTGCAGGCAGCAGCATTAAGTGACGTTTCCATTTTACTGTTGTTGTCTGTTAGTGTCTGCGAGTTTATAATTGTACTTTGTGGCACAAATTTAATTATTACTGCTTTTAGACCTCCCAAAATCGGAGATTTCATTTCACCTCAGACTCAGATGTGTGAAATGCAATTTTTACACTCCATTTATTCCTTGAATAGCGATAGATATCTCGAAATGGTTTTGTTTGATATACCGCGCGCGCATTCGATTCACAAACGATGAAAACGTTAATTAAATACCTACACTTTGATACTCCTAGAGAGTATCAATTAATTTTTGGTCGCTTGCATTGAGCAATGATACGCTTTTTATTTGCTGCGGTAATAAATATCAAAGATGTGGGATTGGTAGCATGTACAATCATTTAGCTCCAATAAATAATTCCCTTTATTAGTTTCCTGTCGTCAATTGAGCGTTTTTTTCTTTTATAGTTTTAATCGATACAGGTTGGGCGACATCGAAATTCGTATTAATTTTAATGAAATATTGTCTCGCGCTTTCTTTTGTGGTAATTTTTCGTCCATATTTGGAAATTTCTAAAATTATTAACGCTGAAAACTCTTTTAGAAACTCGCACGATAAATATTGCAGTGAATTATAGTGATGGACACACACATTCGTCGTAATTACACATTTCGGGAGTTCTTGAGAGTTCAATGTTTTTACTTGTGAGATGTACTTTTACTTTCCATACTCGCCGGTTTTTTTTTTTTTATCTCAATGCACATCAGTTGATTCCGCGTAATTCTATAGCAAGTATAATTGAATAGTGAGTGTCTGTTGTAACGTCACACAATGCGGATATATTGACGTTAAAAGTCAATATAGTATTATAGTATTTATTGAATAACGTAACCGAATATGTTTTGGCATTGATATCACCATCATCCATGGACATGTCCTCTAATTGTTGGCTATAATGTGAATATCACTCTAATCTAATCAAATTAAACGACGGCAAGGACATTTACATCCTGTTTATTATGTCATTTTATTTGATTTTGAATTATTTGGATAATGGACTTGATGATGAAGTCAAATTTATTTTATTTAATAATATTTTAATAAAAATAAGTGAAAAATTCAGAAAAACCGCCAAAAAGAAAGAAAAATTAGCATTTTGAGCGAATAACTCAACACTGACGTCACTTCCCCCACTAGAAATCAACTAGGTGATAAGAGGGTTGCCTACGGGTGGCAACTCGGTTGTATTTTGTTTAAATTGTCTTTTATTTTCAAAATTTTCGTCCAAAAAGCGTCGGAAATGCATTTTTTGCAAAAATATCATTTTCACAAGAAATAATAAACATTTTCAACATTTTTTAAAACTCAATCAATAGTCAAACATCCATTTCACAAATATCAAAACAAATATCATGAATACATTCGGTTTCTCTTCCAAGTGTAAAATATGAAATTTTGAGTAGGTGTGGAGTACAAATTGAAATCGAAACTTGCATTCACTTCTCGTCCATGTGTCTAGCAATGATATTAATTTATTACCATTGTACATTGTAAATTTATAGATATATAACACACGAGCAGTTGTTACGTTATGATATCTGTAGCGTAAAAGTGTTGTTATTTTTGTCGCTTGTTGCACACGTACGCGCCGAGTCCGAGTAAAAGTTGAAGCAACAACCAAACACATGCGGCATTCTTGAATAAGAAGTAAGAGCTCGCCGCGCGCGCGCCCGGTATAAACGAAAGGGTCAACACCGCGGCCTGTTATTTCTGTATGGCGAGCATCACCGTTATCTTAATCGGCCATTTATACACATCCAGAGTGAAACAAACATCGAGCGACGTGCGGAAACGACAAGCCAACAAACGCACACTTTTATATACTCCTATTTACCGTCCTATCAATATAGAAATATAGAAATCTTTCATTTTGATAGGTTTTAACTTTTAAGTTAGGTTATGTTCTAACCTTGAATGTATAACAAATAATAGTGATGGGGTGAGTAATGACAATCGCATCTAATCTCATCTTTGAACATTATTTATTATTATTATTATTATTTTATTTTTATTACGATCGTTTGGAGTGTTTAAGTGTGAGCGCGAAAAGATAAACATCGCGCATCTCAGCAATAAGGAACAGGAACACAGGTCGCAAACATGCGAGAAATTTGTGTAGAAGTTTATCGCGAACTACAGTAGTACATTGGCATCCATTGCGCTGCGTTAATGCTAAAAACGTGAAGACGAATAAATATAGTTTCATAAATGCACACCGCGGTGAATAATGTAAATGTAAACGCGCTGGGCAAAGTATACGGTACGAAACGCGATGATAATCGTGCGACAAACAGTGCTACGCTGTGACATTGTACAATTTTCCTAAGTAGCTAGCATTAGGCATGAAAAAAGGTTAGGTTTTTGTACTGTTGAATCACTATCAAAGGTTGTACGTTACATCAGAACTTTATTTTTTAATTTTTGGTTATAACTTTGAAAGTAAATGAGATAGAGAAATGATTTTTGTTTTATTTTATTGTTTTACACGTGAACTTTAAGATAAATAACAAAAAAGGCTTTAAATTATTGATTTTTACATAGTTTTTGTAGAAAATACAATGAAACATAAACTTTGTGTAATAAATAATAATAAATTTACAGTTTACATCCATAAAATTTATGTTTTAAGTATTTAAATGTCATAATAAAGACATAGTAATAAAAAGCAATTGTTTTCGTCGGCGCATTGTATTCTGCTTTTAATTACTTGCAAAATAAACATGAATACACACACATAGTGTCCAAATCAAATCAAATTCGTCTCGCCTACCTATAATTTTATTTATTTTCTTCATTATCGTGTGATTTATTCATTGTTCGCTGGTTTTGTGAGCTAATTAGGCTTCCTGCCGATGATCAATCAAAGTAATATACACGTTGCTTTCGGAACGCCCGTACGGTAACACTAACAGCGCTGATAACTGAATCGAAATTCTGTTTGCATCTATTTAGTTCACGTCTATTAGAGAGGCGCTGGCGAGTGTTGTGAGTGAACGTTTTCGAAAAGATATCGCGAACAATAACGGAATCATTCGGTATACGCGCCGCGTAATTATGCGCGTACATGCAATTCGCATGATGCACAGAAAGTTGTCGGATTGGCGCATTATTCATGTCAGTAGTGCGCGAGCGAAGATTTCGACATTGTGCATTGTTCATATCGTTCATTATTTATACTTGGCTGGCTGCCACTTTGTTTCCACAATTAATTGTTATTTAGACGCGATTGTAATTAGCATGCCGAGGTGTCTTATCCGTGGCCGGAATGTGTAACATTGCTGATTTGCAATGGGAGTTACGGCTAGGTGCTTTGGTTTTTCAATTTTTGCGCAAATTTAGTTTTAGTGAATTATTGCAATGTTTTGGTAAAAAAGCTATATCTTTTCAAGAAATGCGTAAAATTTAATTTTGTTTTCTCTAATTTATAGCTAATTAAACTCATTATTAGTTATAATTATTTAATTTTTAAATTTCTCCCTGAAAATATAAAAAAATTGCTGTTAAAATTGACGAATTTTGAAATTTTGAGATTTTTATGCACTTTTTTCGTAAAAGTCGAATATTTTCTAAAATATTTTTTCAAATTAATTTTTGTTTTCATAAAAACATAAATAAAGAGTTCTTCTTTTAAATTATATAAAATTATTTCATATTAAATCATAAACAATTGCTTAAAATTGCATCTAAACTTCAATTCTTCTAAAATATAAATATTAGTTCACGTCCAATCACAATAAAAATAAAACCAAGCCAAATATTGTTCTTGCCCGAAAACTTTTTGCCTCTCCTAGCTCTTACAACTGAGTAATTTTACACCTTTCAATTCGTCAAAGTAGTGTATTACATTTGCGGTTAAATTAGCGTCTGTTTGTAGTGAGATGAAGTTATAAAATAAAAATCAGGTTACTTGGACGTGAAATTCATTCATTCATTCATTACTTTTCAACTCAATAAAAACGTGCAATTGAACAATTGTCTTTCCACTTTTTTCGCTACACAAACGAAATTGCGCTGCAATTTTATTACGCATTTATCACAACACGCTATATACAGAGAAATATAATTCCGTTATGGGCACATGGGAACTTATATAAAAAATAAAAACATTTTTTGTTGCTCCGCGTGACTGCAGTAAACTTCAAGTCAAAGTTTACAGTTGGAGACGAGTTGACGTGTGTGTGTGTGTGCTCTGCGGATCTGGAAATATTCCTGCGACATAAATCCAATTTAGTTCCGTCTTAGTCATCTTACAGTCAACATCAACACATGGCGGATATTTAATCCAATACTATTTCGATAACTATACTCTAGCTACATATATACACGAGTATATATACAAGAAGTTACTCGACAGTTTTGTGTGTGACATGAGTGCGTGGATGGTTTGTACATCACCCCTGCTGGTGTTAAGATAGGAGTAGTGTCGGCAGACGGGTTTAGTTTACTTCTTATTTCTTAACTCGACTTATTTCGTGGGTTGATGTGGAGTGCGTAAAGTTTTCGCCGGGATATCGGGGGTGTTGCAATCCACTTACTGGTGACAGAAACGTGTGGTGTGGTGATGTCGGCAATGATATTGTCAGTGTAATAGAATTTATGTGCGTGAATATTCAAGGGAGCAGCAAACACAATAAAAGCTAATTGTCGTAAACTTGCTCTGCGCCGAAATCTCTAAATCTTACTTAATGCGGTCGCGTAGATAAACAAGAATGCGTATTTGGTGTTTGGAAGTCGTAAAGTAATCTGCCACGTAATTAATTGAAAAGTTGAGTTAATAAATGTTTTTTGTTTGTTGCAGGACAAGAAATCAATATTTGGAGGTGTAAAATTTACAAAAAACGTAAGTTTGCATTTTTTAATATTATTTTTATCATAATAATAATTTTGTAACACTTTTCATAATTATTTGTTTAATTTCTGCATTTTACACGTAATTATTATCAATTTTCTGAATATGTGTCATGAAATAACATGCAAATGACGATTATTAACACAAAATACAAATTGGCTTCGAGCGATGTTTAAAACTATGAATCCATTGTAGATTTAAACATTCTGAGATAATTTTAATCGCTGGTGATGTGAAAAGTATTCACCGTTATTTCAATAATAATAAAACATTCTAACGACCACTTTGATGCGCTGAATGCGTTGATTATCCAATTACACTCGAGTGGTATTCGGTGGATTATGCATAAATATTTTTAGTATTAGTCGTATCCGTGTAGGAACACACTTGTGTGCTTACAAAATGAATGAACTTTGTTTCTAATAATAATTTCGCTAACAATGCGTGTTCGTGTTTTCGATCGGAGGAATATCTCACACGATGCTTGAGAATTGGAGTACTAGCGCGGCTAGCGGTGTTAGTGGGTACTACTATTAGCTTGTTACGAGAGTACATTCATTGGTAATTATTGTAATTGCAAAGAAAACCACGCAGAACTCCGGATGCAATGTGCCGGGCTTGCAACATACCAGTAGTAATAGTTATACACACTTCTATTGTCTTCGGAAAGTGTATAATTTCTTCTTTTTCGTTTCGTATTGTTGAAATTAAAAAATGTATTCATTTTTTTAGTTGCGAGGTTAGTTAAGTAGCAAAACTAAAAACGTGTATTTTGGGTTGCATTCCCAAAACATTATAACCAAACTTTTGTTTGTCAGAAAAATGTTGGGGTGAATTTTGTAATATTTTGGAAAAAACCTCATATCTTATTAAGAAATGCATAAAATTTAATTTTGTTTTCACTAAATTATAGCTGATTAAACTTGCTATTAGTTATAATTATTTAATTTTTCAATTTTCAGTTGAAAGTCTTTGAAAATTGCTGTTAAAATTGAAAAATTTTGGAATTTTTAGATTTTTGTAATTTTATGCATTTTTTCGTAAAACTCAAATATTTTCTAAAATACTTTTTCAAATTAACTTCTTTCTTCATCAAAACATAGCCAAAAAGTGCCTCGTTGAAATAATATAAAAAATATTTGTCATAAAAGTTTAAAAATGTAAATTTTTAGCATTTTTCCTAAAAATATTACTAGTTCTGCTCCGAAGCTATTAGCCAGAGTTCAATCCTCTTACATTTGGCATTTATTTGGTATTTCAAACGGTTTGCTAATTAAATAGCACGTAAGAATGTTCAACCGCATACATTACCCTCACAACAATGCACATTTAAATTCCTTGCATGAATCAAAACGATTCGCTACACTTCCAAACACATCCAAACACTTTTTGTCGGTGCTTTTAACTAGCTTTTGTTTTGTGTGTGCGCGCGCGTTGAAAATTAAAGCAAAGATCGATTAAGATGAAACCTGAGCTTTAACCTTCCTTCATCTGGCGTGGCATACATGCTCGCTGACATGAGCGAAAAGGTTGAACCGGTTGTTCCCCGTCAGCGGCGCGCATAACCATCATTAATTCGGGCCTTACCTTTGCTATATCGACTTGCCCATATCCGCGAACGCCGCCGATTCCCGGTAATAATGAATGGCCGCGTTATAAATAACCAACATTATAAATAAACGCGAACACCTCGTGCGCGCCGCACGATCTTACCACTTTTATTTAATTAGCAACAATACAATACAATACCATAACACGCTTGGTAATTATAATTTGACCTCAGGGTTCATCAACACACAAATAACTTAATAAAACTTTATAATTGTAAATTAGATTTGCGGAATGTTTTTCGAGTAAAATAATTCTCGCGTGTGACGAAATTTTCGTTTGAGATAGAAAGCGAAAATATCGCGATCATAAATCCCGTTGGCAAGAGTTGCAGTTCTTATCAATATTTCCACTTTCCACTTTCCACACGACAAGAGGCGAGTGCCGAAAGCAAACAGCGTTAGAACTCTTTACTGCATTATAATATACAGGGTGTTGCATTAATTTTCTTTAAAAAATAATTTTATTAAATTTATTTTATAAAAATTTATTTTTTTTACTAAAAATAAGTTTTATAAATAATATTTTCTTTAAATAATTTTTTCACCCTGTATAATTCAAGGGTGCAGTCGCGTAATATTTGTCTGCTCTCATAAATTCAATGCAACCCTCCTTACAGCCAGCGGAAATGTCAAACGCATTACATTCGTGTTGTATTAATGACGCACAGCATATCTTTTATCATGTTCCGCAAACGTGTTCGTGATAGCAATGCTAATAATTTCGGTGAATTCGCTTTCAAAAATCTCCGCGCACCGCAATGAGAAATGAGAAATGAGCAATGTTTATATTAATAATTATGCCAAAAAATTGAGATTGATGATGCTGCAAGATTAATGTTTTAATTTGTTTTGGTAAATGTTTTTAATTAATTACCGCACACACGAGAGTAGAAAGTGGTGTAATGATGAAAAAATTTGCTTGTTTTGTGCCTTGGAACAAGGTGAATAAAAGAATTAATTAAGGTTAATTATAAATTTGAGTATTTTCTATCTAAACTTTTCATTTTCGGCCAATTAACTTGTTAATTGTGAGATGTCCGAAGTGTGACGTGCATTAATAGGCGAGCCTTGGCATCATATTTTCTTTCGACTCCTTCACTCGACCAAGAATTTGTTTGGAGTACATTTTGAGATGGAGATAAAGCTTTTCCTTTTTGATTTGCCGTCGGTACAACATTTAATGCTTGAAAATTACACACAACTAACGTTAGTGATATTTTTCTATGTGTATCTTAAAATCATCAACTTTAGTTGCTTGCATCTAGAGTGTTTTATGCTCAAATCAATTTTTAATCTACAAATATGTTGTGTTGTTGCTCGAAGTTATTTGGAGCGGAGTGCATGTGAAAAATTTATCAAACGTTTGCATCTCGAGCGCTTTTTCGAATTTTGCAACCTACCTGCAGGCAGATTACAAAGTACAAAGTATATTATGCCCATTTCCGCGCTTTATAAATGTTAATCTTCATCAACAATTAAAGCAAGCATCCAACATGCAGCGATGGTTTTGATTGTGCTGCTTTCTTTTCAAGTTCTCAACCTAGAGCAAAATTCACAGCTTTACCTTGATTAATTGTTCTCTTTTCTTTTCTTTTTCTGATCTGAGTTTTTAAAACAAACAGTATTTAAGTGGAACTTTCTGACCAGAAGGTAATATGGGCGTTGAATTTACTATGCAATAGTTTATTCATGTCCAAATGTTTTATTATTACGCTTTCGGTTTGTGAAGATAAGATAGACAATGAGAGACGTGTGCTTTAATTTTACTTTCTTCTCGGGTTGTCGGCCATTAACGATGAGGAGTCGGAAATCAATAAAACCTAGGTACATCTGAGTGCAGTTAAACTTTATATTTCTGTCTGCTTCGGATCATTTCCTCTTTCAATTGATGGACACGGGCAGGTTTCGTAAATAATTGGATAGAACATGAAATATTTAATATATTTTCTACTTCCACTTTTAAAGCGCCAGTTTTTCTACGGTTTTAAGACACAGAAAGGGCAAAGTTGTGACTAAAGTACTTTAGTCACGGGAAGACTCGTGACTGAAACTCCCGTTTTGCTTCTTGATACTTAATATATTATAACGTTCATTTCTGTATAATTTAAAGTTTATTAAACTTGATTTAAATTTAATAATAACATTAAAATAATGTGTGAACAAAATATTCATGAATATTTAACGCGTGGGCGTTTAAACGAGTTTGAAAGCAATGATTTCGTAATTAAATTCCAATTGTACTCGGTTTTATTGTCAAAAAAGCGGCGAAAAAATCAAATTTAAAAGTTTAAAGCCCCTGGAGTTAAACGACCTCTCCTCTTCTGCTAGTAATAGCACTGCGCACAATTCCATGAAAAATAACAATTACGATTGTATAAGAGGGACACCGACACTCGCAGTGGTATGAAATCGAATCGCGCAGCAGACGTAACCTACCAATTACCGAAAAACGTAAACGACACCGGTTAAAGTATAAAATATAAAGAAGTATAAACTCATTACGTGATTACAGCGCGTCTAATAACACTCGAGAAAGGCGCGCAGAGTGTCGCACTCAATTGAATACAATCGGAATTCGGAATGTAATTACCGAATTTTTGATGATTTTACTTTTTAAAAAAGGACGCGGAGCGATGCGGAGCTCGTTTACGTCTCGTTGCGCATCAGAGTTCATGTTGGTCGTCTTCTTAGCGTTGCGTTTGGAATAAACTACATCCGTGTTTGCAATTACGCCGAATTTCGCGTTATTTTCTAACGTTACGGAGCATGAAGGTTACACGTGTAATTCACGTAGTATTTGAGATAAAACAAAAGTTACATTTTAGCAAAAAAAAATGTTGGGGAATAAAGCTAGAGAACAGTTTTTAGGAAATTGAGTGTAACGGTAGACGTACAAGTAATTTTTTCCAAGACTAGTACCACAACCCTAACAAGATTGACAGGAAATTGGATAATTGAAAATTTGTCAGTTTTCTTGATATTTCAATAGCCAATATTTCGTAAACTAAACGAGATAGAAAGGTCAAATCGCAGAGTCTTAATGTATGGACCATTTTCTATAAGATAGGCTAGTTAAAATTGAAATCTAAGAGATGAAATTTTCACTTCTAAGAAAAAAATTGTCAAGGGGGGGTGCTTGATTCTTTTTTTCGACGATTTTCAATAGCGAATATCTTCTAAACTAAAAGAGATAGCAACCGGCGGAAAGTAGATTACGAAAGATTGGATCATTCTCTATTAGCTAGGGATTTAAAATTATTTAATTTCAAAGAGTAAAGGATCGAAAAATGCGACTAAAAGGGCTAAAAAGTGACATTTTTCAATTTTTGACCATTTTCTTTAATTGTGAATATCTCGTAAACTAAAAGAGATAGGAAGGCC